CTTTCTTGGAATTTCTTTCTCTCTGCTTATATTGTCTGTTTCTGCATATTATCTACCCCTCCCCAAAATGAGCAACCTTTGCATGTTCATCTAGTTTGTTTTAATTTGTTACTCCCAACATCTCTATTATATCTGAGTCTGGTTCAGATGATTTTTCTGTCTCTTCAAACTGTGTTTTTTGCCTTTCAGCATGCCTCATAATTTTTTGTTGAGAGCTGGACATGGTGTAGGGGTGAAAGGAACCCTGGAAAATAGGACCTCGGCAATGTGGTGGTGAGGTGTGAGGTGAGAAGAGTTCCATAGTCCTATGATCAGGGCTCAGTCTTTCAATGAAACTATGCCCTTTGTTTGTGAATGTCACAAGTGCTTTTCAGGCCCCCAATCTCAACTCTTAGGTGGGACGGATGGCCTGAGGGCTGGAGTTGAGTAACTGGATGGGTGGAAGGCTGGAGGCAGCTGAAGGTGGGTTATTTCCTTTCCCCCAGGTTAGTTTTGCACTGATACAATCCCAATGGTTGAGGCTCTGGCTCTGGTGAAATAGTTTCTCTTGAATGGCCTTATTGAAAAGAACAGAATGCTCTGGCATTTATCAAAATGGTTACTTTCCCCCTTTCCCTATCAATCTCTCAAGGGGTTTCAAGTCTTTCTTTCTTTCTTTCTTCCTTTCTTTCTTTCTTTCTTTCTTTCTTTCTTTCTTTCTTTCTTTCTTTTTCTCTTCTGATATTCACTGTGAGAACCTGGTAGAGCTTCAGGAAGTGAAATGCAAAAGCATGAGTCTATTCCCCTGGAGTTTTTAACTCTCAGACTTATCCACATAGTCCCCAGAATTTGTCAGTTACACCTTGAGTTTTCCAATCCTGGTACTGGTTTCCATGGAGGTTTCCGCCAATGAGTTTCTGCTCTGCTAAACTGGGCTTCTTTGTACGGCCTATCTCTTAAATTTTGGGAACAACATTTTGTTCTGTCGCTTTACTACCCTAAGAGAGGGAAGAAGACTACTGAGCTTTCAGTTTATTTGGGTTTTGATATGTTGTTGGGATTAAGTGGCAATTTCAAGCTCCTTAATGTGGTGGAACAGAGACTGGAAGTCCTAGTTCTGATATTTAATTGGTGACTGTGTTCTCACTGTGCCCACCCATGTTCACCCTGCTCACACTCCCCTGCACTTCCTTAGTCCCTTTTGAGATTTCTTACTCTAACACAAGGACTGTGTTCAATCTACCGTGGCTTGTCTGAGTATTTATTCTATGCAACCATGAAAAATGAAGAAAAAGAAATCTATCAGGGACTTGAGTTATTTGACAAAAATAAGGGAGACCAACTTTTTTTGATAAGAATTTTTTTTTCAATTAAAAAAATATGCTTTAGAGCCTTGAAATTTCCATCTTAAACAGCCTCGGGAATGGGTGCACAACCAGAATTTACTACTAAAAGACTAAAATAGAGGGCTTTTGTAAGTAGCATTTCCATCCACAGATATAGTCTGTGGCATAACTTTGCTAAAATATCTCTTAAGAATAACCTTGGTGCAGGATGGCAAAATACTTCTAGCCAGCGTGCCATGAATGAAAAGACGTGGGGTAATCTCCACTCCCTCTGAATGAATCACTAAATCAACTGAAGAAGAAGGGAGGGAAATGGGAAGAGATTCCATGCCTAAGACAGTGGATCAGAGCATTCTTGCATGTCTGAGTGGTGGAACTCTGCTCAACAATAAGAAATGTCTCTCTCAAAAATGTTAGCTCATTTTGGGTGTGCCTGGATGGTTCAGTCAGTTAAGTGTCTGCCTTTGGCTCAGGTCATGATCCCAGGGTCCTGGGATCTAGCCCCCTACACAGCTGGCTCCTTGCTCCGTCCAGAATCTGCTTCTCCCTGTCCCTCTGTCCCCTCCCCTCATGCTCTCTCTCTAATGAATAAATAAAATCTTTTAAAAAATGTTAGCTCATTTGGAATTGGGGGTATATTAAAAGTCTTTATTTTCTATTTTCTTTTAACTCATATCAATGGCTTATCACTTCAATTACTATTTCATTCCTTTTCAGTATATTCATGAGTTAAATCTAAAATGAGCACTGCACATGTAGACTTTTCTGAACATTATAACATCAGACACAAATCCTATCTAGCAGTCTTCACAGCAACATAAAGAAAAATAAGTTGATAGAAATTCAAGCAGCAGAAGGGGGCAGTAAAACTCAACAGAATGCTGTAGCAGATTTTTTATATACTTGCTTATTTTTCTTTCATGAGAGAATTTCCCAACACATTTTAGAGACTAATTAAAAATCTGTACCATAGATATATATGTCTAAAATATACACACAGAAACACTAAATGTATATGAAAGTAAGAGCTATGATTTTATATAATCAAAACCTTATTTTTTATGGTGTGATATATCAAAGCACAATAATCATAGCACTTGTCCACATAAAACAGGTTTAGCCCTTTGGATTTGGTTTGGGACATTTAATATCCCCTCATAACCAGCATCCCCAAATGTACTTTCCATTCTATTTCATGGTCTCAGACTTGTCAAAATTATTTAATAAATCATACCATAATGGTTTTTCCTCAAGTCTATATTTGGACTTCCTTTCTAAACTGTGTCCAACCTAAAAGTCATTTTCTCTTTGAACTCCTTTCTGACTGCATAAGTACATGGAAGTCTCTCTACTCTACCATGTCATTGAAATTACAGGTTCAACCAAGTAGTTTAACCAAATAGATTTTTTTTCATTGAATTTTCACTGTGAAAGAGAGTTCAATGTCTTTACATTCCAAGTAGTGTAAATGTGATTATTCTCTACACACTGTTTTGTCTTTACCTTTAAATTCAGTCTGTCTTTGAACAAGAAATGATATGCAGTAAGTATACAATTAAGACCTCATAATGCGGATATTGGATGATAATGACTTCAACATGAATTCAGGATTACAGTGTAGAATTTGAGTGCAGTACTAGAGTCAGAGTATAGAATCTTATGTGACACCTAAAAAAAGCTCAAATGTGTGGTCCTAAATATCACTTTAAAATTTTAGTAGATACCACCTAACCTCTTTTAAAAAATTATGCTCTTAGTTAAAATTCCATGTAAGACTTAGTACAATAAATGGGAGTGTCATAAATTGAATGATTAAATATGACTAGAGGAGAAAGGCTTCTTGGATGAGATGGAATTTTAGTCATTTACGTCTCATGTAAAATCAGATAAATACCTTAACCAAAATGATAAGGAAAAAGAAATTCAAGTAAGTTTCTTTTCTCTTTTAAGACTTCTACAGATTGAGGGGCACCTGGGTGGCTCAGTGGGTTAAAGCCCCTACCTTCAGCTCAGGTCATGATCCCAGGGTCCTGGTATCAAGCCCTGCATTGGGCTCTCTGCACAGCAGGGAGCCTGCTTCCCTTCCTCTCTATGCCTGCCTCTCTGCCTACTTGAGATCTCTGTCTGTCAAATAAATAAAATCTTAAAAAAAAAAAAAGACTTCTACAGATTGAGATACCTGGTATAGTGTTACCTCAGGTTTTATGCTGTTTTTTTTTTTTTCCATTAGTGCTAAGAATGTATGGCTTTGAACGTTTTATTCTCCACTTTGATTCTGGTAACTAACTTACTTTCTTGCTTTCCCTTTCTTTTCTTTCCTTCCCTCCTTTCTTTTCTTTCTTCCCTTTTGTTTCTTTCTATTTCACGCTCACACCACAAAAAGATATTAAATAAAGGCAAAGGATGATAAAAATTCAAAATTGTCAAACTCATCCATCTTTTCCATCCATTCCACTCAATTCCTCATCAAAACTGTGTTCCAAAACGAGAATAGAAGATTTGAACTAATAAGCCCAGACAACTGAAAAGTAAATGCAGTGTTGTACTTTGATACATTGTCACATTCATCATCTTGGAAAAAATGGGCAGAAATGACTTAAAGAAACAAACTTTAAAAACCTAGTTTCTTTTTCGTGTATCTCCTGTGAAGGGCTGGTGACCAAAGCGGTGAAAACCCGCGCAGCAGAGATGGAAATGCATTAAAGCTTAAGTTTTGCATCCCGGCAGATCTGGACCCTTTCCCTTCCCTTGTTATCAGAGCAGCGGAAACGTTATAGTGGTGATTGCTCAAGCTCGGATGGACTGTTTACAGGATAGCTGCTAAGGAGCAAATTGTGGAGAGAATTCACATTTTACAGATAATGTAAACTGACGATAGCTCTTATAGTTCATTCGGCCAAATAAAAAAAGTGTAACGTATGTATGCACTCCATATGCTCTAGGTTATGGGTCGTCACTGAAATCGTGACGTTTGAAATACATGACGTGTAAAACAGTCTTTTTTGGCCCGGTCTGACCAGACTGTGACTCCTCGGCCCCCTAAGACCTGGGGATGAGACATGGGGAGGGCCGCGCAGGGAGATTCCCTGCTCTCTGGGACCTCCGGCCGCTCGGATTCCCGGAGAGGAAGCATTGTATTCTCGCTCCCGCAGTGGGATCCGCTAAGGCACCGGCTCTCCAAAATTCCGGGTCAAAAGACTGGGAGAAAGGGAATCCGGAGCAAATCGCACTCCGGAGCTGAGGGACTGGGGGAGGAGAACCAGATCGCACCGGGGCGGGGGTAAGGGGTGGGGGAGGCGACTTCGCTTTGCACCCGCCTTGGGGAAGCCGAGGGCAGCTTCCCAGGTTTCCGATTTTCTCATTTGCGTGGGTAAAAAATCCAGCCTTCACCCGGTCTTACGCAATTATTTAAATAGACAGGGGGAGGGGGGAGAGTTGTGGGGGGGTTTTAGAGTTTTAAAGAGGCGGAAAGAAACAGTCATGCCGTCACGTGGGCTTAGTTTTTACGCATAAAAGGAAGGTTCTCTCCGTTAGCTTCCAGTTGTCAAACAACTTGGAGCCAGTTTCAGGATTTCGCTGGTGACTTCGCACAGCGCCTGCTCCAGCTCTGCAGCTCGGAGCCCAAGTACGGCAACGCCTCCGCCCGCCCGCGCTCCGCCCGCCGCCGCCGCCGCGATGCTGGCTCGCGCCCTGCTGCTCTGCGCCGCCCTGGCGCTCTGCCGTGCAGGTGGGTACCTGGCGCCCCGCAGCGGGGACTCCTCGGCTCGGTAATTGCCGCTAAGGTTCCGCTGAGCTCCCGGATCCTCCCGGTACTTTGAACAGTCCGGGAAAGGAGACGATGTTTGACTTGGTGGAGCGTTTGAACCATTAGAGTTCAAAAGAACTGGGTGGACGGACACCCCAGCTTTGCCACCAGCTCTGATCATCCCGAGCCGGTTACCTAAGCGGTGTGCGCTACTTTCTCATCTGCTAAATAGGGACAGTGATACTAATTTGCAGATTGTCATTCTGATAAGACAGGATCGATCAGTAATATATGTCAAATGTTTGTGTGGGGTTCCTACTGTTCGGGAATGGGCGCCATTGCTTTAAATACTCTATTTAGTGCTTTCACGACTCAGGAAAGCCAAGGTGTTTTTTTTGTTTTGTTTTGTTTTTGTTTTTGTTTTAAGATAAGCAAAATATTTTAATAAGCTGTTTTTATCCCGAAATTTCTCCTAAATTTGATTAATGTACTAGATATGTCCACTTGAGTTACAAAAATGCTACTTCTTTGAGCTCTTCAAAAATGCTGATTTGAACATCTAAAAAGCTTCTAAAGAAAAAACTTAGCAACATCACTTCCCTGGTTGAATATTGTTACCCTTATTTAGAATACAAAGTTGGTATTTCCTTTATACATCATTCGGTGCCACAGGTTAAAATTGTTTTCCCATGATTACCTGAATATTTCTTTAATTTATTTACGTAAAGTTGACCCATACTATGTAAAACAATTAAATGTCTATATCAAGATGAAGAAAGTAAAGAATAGGGGCACCGGGGTGGCTCAGTGGGTTAAAGCCTCTGCCTTCGGCTCAGGTCATGAGCTCAGGGTCCTGGGATCGAGCCCCGCATCGGGCTCTCTGCTCGGCTGGAAGCCTGCTTCCTCCTCCCTCTCTCTCTCTCTGCCTGACTCTCTGCCTACTTGTGATCTTGGTCTGTCAAATAAATAAAATAAAATTATTAAAAAAAAAAAAGAAAGTAAAGAATAACTTACTTACTGTCCTTACTTTTATTGTAGCGAATCCTTGCTGTTCCAACCCATGTCAAAACCAAGGTGTGTGTATGAGCATAGGATTTGACCAGTACATGTGTGACTGCTCTCGAACAGGATTCTATGGTGAAAACTGTTCAACACGTAAGTGTGCCCTTGGGTGCCCTTATTTGGACTGGGGATACGTGCAATTATCACTTTACACTCTAGTTATATAAAATGGGTCCTGCTAATCTTCCCCCCCCCTTTTTGCAGCTGAATTTCTGACGAGAGTAAAATTATTCCTGAAACCCACTCCGGATACAGTGCACTACATACTTACCCACTTCAAGGGAGTCTGGAACATTGTCAATAACATTCCCTTCCTGCGAAATGTAATTATGAGATACGTGTTGACATGTAAGTACAAGTCTCTATTTTCAGTTTCCTCAAAGAAAAATGTTCTTTATAAAACTTGATTATTGAGCCTAATCCCGAAATCTCTTTTCAACCTTGTCAAAATAACTTTAAATAGACCTTTTTAGTTTGCCTTCCGTCTTAATGGCTCAAAATACATCTCAGTCCCATTCAGTTTGGAAAGTTCTGTCTCACAATCAGAATTCTACTTAAATCTTGTACACCTCTTTAAATTCACTGCTCTGCCAATCCATGAAGGAAGTGTGGTCCAGTTTATTCAATGTCCTGGACCACAGGATTGCACCTCGTAAAATAATCTGGTTAATCTGGATTTGGGTCAGCAAGAAAATTATTACTAAAGCATGTGTCTTGCCCAAACATTCCTTCATAGGCCTCTTAAGTGGTAGGTGGATGATTATTTGAAAAATCAAGATGGCTAGGTCATGTTTTATGTAAAAGCGTATATACTTCATTAAAGATGCATTTTAATGGATCATTTTTCCTGATTTTTTTTTTTTTAAGTACAAGTGGCAGTTAAGACTTCAGTGTAACTGTTATACAGTGGGTTGTCTTTGTTGGAATTAAAGTCAGTCTTTCCTGCCACTTTGTACTTTTTACAGTAAAAAGGAACATTGATGTGGGCACAAATAAAACACATTTTTTTCCTTAAATTTCAGCCAGGTCACATTTGATTGAGAGTCCTCCAACTTACAATGTGGACTATGGCTATAAAAGCTGGGAAGCCTTTTCTAATATCTCCTACTATACCAGAGCTCTTCCCCCTGTGGCGGATGACTGTCCAACACCCATGGGTGTGAAAGGTACGTGTCGAGAGGCAGTCAGAGATGTATTCATTGCCGTAGGGATTGGATTTTTAACCTAGAAAATTCAGCCCTGAACTATCATTTATTTGTTAATAAAAGCATATTGTTTGCTCTTTTAAGGATATCTTGGAGATTTTTTCTTAAAGTGTATTTCTGTCAACTATTCAGGAAAGTGAATGGACCTTTTGGTTTAATAATGTCTTTACTATTTTCAAATTGTTTCATTAAAACCAAATTAAATACTAGTTAAACAAAATAGGTAAAATTAATTCAGTAAGAATGTGTTTCCCCATATCTTAGAACTTTGATTTATGTTGTAATTCTTTTCTCCTGTAGGTGAGGAAGGCCCCTTAGGAAATAGATGCTTCCTTGGATTTGTTAATGAATTCTTATCTTAGCTTTCTCATTTTTTAGGCAAGAAAGAGCTTCCTGATTCTAAAGAGATTGTGGAAAAATTTCTTCTAAGAAGAAAGTTCATTCCTGATCCCCAGGGCACAAATATGATGTTTGCATTCTTTGCCCAGCATTTCACCCATCAATTTTTCAAGACCGATCATAAGCGAGGGCCAGGTTTCACCAAAGGACTGGGCCATGGGGTAAGACAGAGTTAAAGCGAAATTATAGCAAAAATAACTGAGTGCTGTGTGTGTGTATTTTTGCTACACCAGATTTACCCTCTTCTTAAATGCTCTGTCTATAAAAACCTTAATGGAATTTCCATTTTTGATTAACTGGTTTAGTAAAAAATACACATGCACACACACATGCATATAGGCATAATATTTGTAATTTGGCTATTATATTTTTAGTTTAAAATATTAGCACTGCAAAAAGTGGTGTCTTAAAACATATTTGTACTCTGATTATGATGCTTTAAATATTATGAGATTTTTGCAGCATTCTTATCCCTTGGAGTTCAGTGACAGTTTCAATTTGCCAGTAAGAATTTTAGATCAGTAATATATTTTCTGATGCTTATTAAAAGAAATACCATATAGCTATAGTGAAGCATATTACCTACTTAAAACTCCATATGAGGTACTAAATACCTTTCAACACAAGAGACATAGGTTTGTAGTATCATTGGATAAACAAATTTAGTATTTTTGGCTTTGAGAAAAGTGTTTTATCAAATTATTTAATGATAAATTATATCATAGACACTTTACAAACTTCAGCAGCAACAAATTAAAATTTTTCCATCTCTTCTAGGTGGACTTAAACCATGTTTATGGGGAAACTTTGGATAGACAACATAAACTGCGCCTCTTCAAGGACGGAAAAATGAAGTATCAGGTTCGTTCTCTTTGAATCTTAAGAATTAGTTATGACTCATGACTTAGCTGTATTTAGAAACATCTGATTAAAATGTAACATTTTTGTTACCATTGTTCTTTAGGTAATCGATGGAGAGGTGTATCCTCCCACAGTCAAAGATACTCAGGTGGAGATGATCTACCCACCCCATGTTCCTGAACACCTGAGGTTTGCTGTGGGCCAGGAAGTCTTCGGGCTGGTGCCTGGTCTGATGATGTATGCCACGATCTGGCTGCGGGAACATAACAGAGTGTGTGATGTGCTCAAACAGGAGCATCCAGAGTGGGATGATGAGCGTCTGTTCCAGACGAGCAGGCTCATATTGATAGGTAAGCAAGAGGAGAAAATTTAAATGCAACTCTCCTCCGCAGAGAAAACGAACTTGCTACCTTTGATACGTTTTAACTAATTCTGGGAGAACGTGGTGAATGTAAAATCACTTGCTCCCTATTAATTCAATCCTTGAGCAGGATTGGTAATATAAATAACCTTTTGTGTTGATGGTCTAAGGGACAAAATAGAAGTGAGGGAGTAGCGGATTCACCCAACTGCATGTCAGTTGCGGGAAAGTTGTTCTTCCGAGAATGAATGCTCTAAATGTGTTTATTTTGTGTAAATAGGAGAAACCATTAAGATTGTGATTGAAGACTATGTGCAGCACTTGAGTGGCTATCACTTCAAGCTGAAGTTTGACCCAGAGCTGCTTTTCAACCAACAATTCCAGTACCAAAACCGCATTGCTGCTGAGTTTAACACGCTCTACCACTGGCACCCCCTTCTGCCCGACACCTTGCAAATAGATGACCACGAGTACAATTTCCAACAGTTTGTCTACAACAACTCGATACTGCTGGAACATGGGCTTACCCAGTTTGTGGAATCATTCAGCAGGCAAATTGCTGGCAGGGTAAGCCTTGTTACTGAAAAACAAAACCAAGGACTACTCAGTCACTAGAATTTCCACCATCAAAATGATTTTCCTTAAACTTACTGAAAGAGTAATATTTTGCTAGTCATTTCTCTTGAAAATAGAAGTCTACCATTTTTTTGAGAAGTCTAAACATGAAAAAAAAAAAAGTCTAAACTGGTAGTCTGTGGCCATCAAATAGCGATAGGTAGTCATGGCTTAAAAATATCTAACCTGTAGATCATAGAGCTTTCTAACTTGGATAGTTTAGGTCTCAGCTGGGAACGTCAGTCCTGTGTACTCCACCAGGGAATGAGTGCTTTTAAAGGAGAAATCCTCATCAAGATGCCTACAAATGGTGTTCTACGATTTATTTTCCACAGGTTGCTGGTGGTAGGAATGTTCCAGCTGCAGTACAACAAGTAGCAAAGGCCTCAATTGACCAGAGCAGACAGATGAAGTACCAGTCTCTGAATGAGTACCGCAAACGCTTTCGGCTGAAGCCCTACGCGTCTTTCGAAGAACTTACAGGTGAGAGAGAGTTTTTTTGAAGAATCAAGGGTCAAATGGAAACAACAGAAGTTGAAAGGGAATTGAGTCAAGGGTTAAAACTTTTTTTTTTTGGTAAAGCTTTTTACATTGGTTGTATATCTGTCTTTGTCACCTTCACAGGCGAGAAGGAAATGGCTGCGGGGTTAGAGGCCCTTTATGGAGATATTGATGCCATGGAGCTGTATCCAGCCCTCCTGGTAGAAAAGCCTCGTCCAGATGCCATCTTTGGTGAGACCATGGTAGAAATGGGAGCACCATTCTCCTTGAAAGGACTTATGGGTAATCCCATCTGTTCGCCTGACTACTGGAAGCCTAGTACTTTCGGTGGAGAAGTAGGCTTTAAAATCATCAACACTGCCTCCATTCAGTCTCTCATCTGCAATAACGTGAAGGGCTGTCCTTTTACTGCATTCAGTGTTCAAGACCCCCAGCTCACCAAAACAGTCACCATTAATGCAAGCTCTTCACACTCCAGACTAGATGACATCAATCCCACAGTCCTGCTAAAAGAACGGTCCACCGAACTGTAGAAGCCTGTTAATCATATTTATTTATTTATATGGACGATTTCTTTTAACTTAATTATTTAATATTTATGTTAAACTCCTTATGTTACTTAACATCTTCTGTTAAGGAGAAAGGGGTCATACTTGTGAAATTTTCATGTCACTACTTTAAAGATGTCTTCAGGTTAAAGGGGAAAACAGCTGTCATTGTTTTGTAAGTGAGTTTGACATCCTTTTACTTGAATTTCAGTTTATATTATTTATAATAAGAACAAAAGCAAAGGTGTTCGGACATTTAAACTCTGTTCCAAGATGGCAAAATGCTGCAAGTGTTTTTCCGCACTGTCGGGATTTCTAGTGTATCTTCCAGGAAGCATTAGAAGCAATTACCTGCACACTGTTTCTTTTTTTCTGTTAGCCACTGTGCTGGGAGAAACTCTCTACTGATGAGTTTACTTTTTTGTTTTCTTGGTTTTAAAGATCTGAATACATCTTTCTTTGTTTGGACTCTGTACTTTCTTACCTGAACTTGCAGAAGTTTTCAGAAAACCTCAACTCAGGACTAGTAATTTAGCTCCTCTTAAGAGGAATGGAAAAAAAAAAAACCACACACACAGCCTTTAAAGGCCTCTACACAGAGGCATTTTACATGAACGGCAGAGAACTTTATCATTTCAAACTCTGTGTAGCAGAAGAAGCCTACAATGAGACTAATGCCTTACAAAGAACTGTAGCGGGTTGTTGATAGAAGAAAGTTGTATTTCTGTTCTAATGAATGTCCTTTCCTATTTAAAAGCAAAACCAAACAAATCCTGAATAGTTTCTGGGAAGATAATGTTTCTTTTCCACATCTCATTGTCAGCTGACATTTGCTGGTACTGTATACTACTTAATTTATTGAGTATTATTTATGTTTTGTTAGGACATGATTATAAACTAGGTTTAAGCTGCAGTCATTGATTTTTTTTTTCTTTTGCATTGTGTGAGAATCATTGAGATTAACTCTGAATTAATATGTAAACTATAAGATAAATTAATATGTAAACTATAAGATAAATATTAAGATTTTTGAATAAATTTTCAGGAACCCAACTCTGGTATATTGAAATACAGAAAGTTGGAATTGATATATAGAAGATTTATCTATATACCAGCCCACAGAGACCACTGTGTCTCATTAGTCTGGATATACTATAAGACTGACCTCTTACACATTTTTGAAGGACCTATGGATCCTTCATTAATTCATTCAGCTATAACTTATTGAGGGGACATGTGCAGGGCACTATGGGTTTTAATATTTTTTTGGTTTTAATATTTTTAAATCAAGCACTGATTACAGATAACATCAGTATTTGTAAATAAGTGAAAAAACATGTCTTTTAGGTAGAAGAAGAAAATGAAATTTCATTAAAGGAAATAACTCAGGGGAATTTTTAAGATTTTATGTTTAAAAAGTTTATAGGTAAAGAAATAGTCAATATTAGAAGGGCTTATATAAAAAATTTTGACTTCACTGATTAAAAAAAAAAAACATACATTAACATCATCCTGCTGACTGAACCTGGGAATTCGGAATATAATATGAATGGTTTGGTGCCTCAGACAAATGTGTATTTAAATTAACGTATGTAAGTGTCGAAACAAATGCCTGTTTATTTTTATACTATTTAAGAATGGAAAAAATCTCTTCTAAAATAAATTTTGACTGTTTCCATATATCTTTGTCCTATGACGTATGATTTCTCTAAAGCACTATATGTATACCCTTTTCTTCTATCTGTTCTGGACCTGACGCCATGAATGAAATAGTTCTTCCCTCAGTCATAGAGAGGTTTCTTAGAGGAAGAAGCTGTGCTTTGTTCACTGCAACACTCTATTGGAAAATGTGTGCTATGTGCTATAGGAGATAGCAACAAACTTGTTTTCATTGGCTAATCTGGAAGAAAGAAAAAAAACCAAGCATACAGAAGGCAAAGAATAAGATAAATGGCTAAGGAAGTACAAAATTATAAGTTCAAAGAACTGGGGAAACCATTGGTACCTGGCTCAAGGGCTTCCATTGTACTCCTAATGCTGATATTTTGGTAATAGCACTATCTACCAGGACCACCTGCTTAACATTCTGTGGCTTTTCTCTTCCTTGGCTTTCATTCCTGGGATGGCTTCTTCCGTATTTCCTACTATATACATACCTTGATCTTATCATCAGTTGCTATACTATTACCAAAATCTTGATTTCAAGCATCTGCTTGACTTACCTTCTAATTCACCTATCTTAGTACTCACATTTAAACATGTAACTCTGGTTTCATTGAGCCTACTGATTCATTGACCTCTTTACTTTTCATTACCCCATTTATCTCATTTCCTTACAATCATGCCTTCATTCCTTGTCTACTCTCCCTCCATTATACTTAACTGGCACAAGTTTGTTTCAGCCATCCTCCTAATCTCTTTGACTTCTTAGTAGCATTCAGCACAAATGTTTATAGTTTTCTTTACCGAAAGATTTTTTTTTTTTTTTTTTTTTTTTTTTTTTTGGTTCTTGGTTTGAAGCTCTCCTGGTCTTTGCCTTCATGCAGTGCTATTACTCAGTTTTTTAAAAAAAATCTCTTCATCCTCCATTGTGTCTATAAATTGAAGTGTCTTCATCCCCCCTCTTTATCTGCCCTCTTCCAAGTGAATCCCATCCAAGCTCATAAATTGAAACATTATCACTCCCAAACTTACTTCACCAGAACAATCTCATTGACAACTTACCCACTCAAATGCATAAACTTAAATGGCTTATTTTACCAATTTTGCCCACTTCACACCACATAACCGAAATAATAATCATCCAAAGTTAAGGACACCACCATCTCCTTGTTCTCAAGCAGAATCCCCTCTTTTCTTCATGCCCATGGTCAATCACACAGCAATTTTGTTGACTATAACCCACAAACAAATTCTGCACCTGTCACATTTTCTCTAATACTACCAACCTAGTTGATGCAATTATCTCTCAATTGGCTTTCCTTCTGTTCTTGCCTCATTCCAAACCATTCTCCTTATTATGATGAGAGTGGTCATTTTCAACCATGCATCAGATAATGTTCCTCTCCTGTTTGAAATCTTCCGATGGCGTCCTATTACGCAATGGACAAACCTAAACTCCTTATCCTATCATAGTGTGTCTCAGTGATCAGCCCCCTGCCTATCTGACCTCATTCACCATAATTTCCTGCCCTTGCTCACTGCGCTCCAGCCACATTGCTTGCTCAGCAGCAGGGGTTCTCAAGCTGTTGTCCCTGTTTCAAATGATCCTTCTTCAGATTTCCACACAGCTAGATCCTTTTCAACAGCCAAAGCTTGGCTCAAATTTTCCCTCTCAGGCCTTCTCCAACCACATAAACTAATGCCAACTACGAAAGCTCTTTCATCTTCTTTATGGCATTTGTTTCTGTTATTGATTTGTATGTTTATTTATTATCTGTGTCCCCTCAGTAGAATTTCATGCCTATGAAAGCAAGGATCTTGTTTGCATTATTCACTGGTCTCAGAACAGTGGTACTTAAAAGGCATTACAAAATATTCAATAAGTGAACAAGAATAAGACTCATGAAAAAAGAAGAATATGTGGTAATTCTTATTTCTAAATTGTTTTATTTATTTATTTTTAAATTTTATTTATTTATTTGACAGCCAGAGATCACAAGTAGGCAGAGAAGGGGGAAGCAGGCTCCCCTCTGAGCAGACTGAAACTTCTCTTACCATGTACATTAGTTTTCTATTGATGCTATGACAAATTACAAAAAAACTTAATGGCTCCAAACAACACAAATTTACTATCTACAGTCCTGGAGGTTCAGAAGTAAGAAATAGATCTTATGAGTTAAAATCAAAGTGTCAGTAGGGCTGTGTTTCTTCTGGAAGCTCTAGGGGAGAATCTGTCTTTTCCTTTTCTAGCTTCTAGAGGCTACCTGCATTACTTGGCTCATGGTCCATTTCTTTACCTTCAAAGCTCACAGGGTAGCATCTTCTAATATCTCTGACTCTGATTCTCTTGCCTCCCTCCCATAAGGACCCTTTTTATTACTTTGGGCCCATGAAGATAATCCAGGAAAATCTCCTTCCCTCAAGATCCAAAATTTTTTTTCACATATACAAAGTCCCCTGTACCATGAAAGGCAACATATTCACATGTTATAGAGATTAGGGCATGGAAATCTTTGGAGGACTATTATTTTACCTCCTACATGATACAATCTAGCATTGTACTCTTGGGTATGTATCCCAGAAAAATAACCTATATTCTCATAAAAATCTCTATATGAAGCTTCATAGCAACTTTATTCATAATAGCACAAAACTGGAAATAATTCAAATATTCTTCAAAAGGTTAATAGTTAAACAAACTGTAGCAAACTGTGGTATATCCATACCATGGAGTACTATGCAGCAAAACAAATACAGCTTATCATACATGAAACAACTTGGACAGAACTCAAGTGAGTTATGCTTAGTGAAAAAAAAGGCAGTCTCTTAAAGTTACCTATTCTATGATGATTACATATATATATGACTATAATGTAAGATGTTAACATCAGAGGATGTGGTCTGAAGGTTGTGTGGTACTCCCTCTACATTTCTTTGCAACTTCCTGTGAATTTATAGTTATTTCAAAGTAAAAAGTTAAAAAAAAAAAAAAAAAGGAAGAGACGTCATTCTTGGTGATAAGAACAGGTTTATAGGCCACTTTTATATCATTTGATTTCCTTGACCCTTATCCAAACTGCCACAATAGACTGTCCTAGAGTGGACATCCAACCAAGCAGGGAAAATAAAATTCTCTCTCCAAAAAATTTAGAATTAGGATGGAGATTCTAAATCAGTCTGACAGTTGTGTAGTAGACAATGGTGGCAATGCAATTTAATAAATAAACCCCCCAAAGTCTTTTCTTTTCATTTTTTAAGATTTTATTTATTTATTTGACAGACAAAGATCACAAATAGGCAGAGAGGCAGGCAGAGAGAGAGAGAGGGAAGCAGGTTCCCAGCCGAGCAAGAGCCCGATGTGGGGCTCCATCCCAGGACCCTGAGATCATGACCTGGGCTGAAGGCAGAGGCTTTAACCCATTGAGCCACGCAGGTGCCCCCTCAAAAGTCTTTTCAATAAATGGTCTGAGAAAATTGAACATCTACATGAAAAGAAGGAAACTTGATTGTACCTCACAACACACACAAATGAATTCGAGATCGTTCACAGATCAAAACTATAAAGCTTTCAGAAATAATTATGGAATAATATCTTCATGAACCTAGAATAGGCAAAGAGTTTAAGATCCATCAAGTACTAACCCTAAAAGATAAAAAGATTAATGGTTTACTTCATAAAACAAGAAAAGTTGCTCATCAAAAGACAATGCTAGGAAAATGAATAGACATGCCACATACTCAGAAAATAGTCATAACACACACATCTAACAAGGACTGGAATATAGAACGTATAAATAACTCTAAATAGTTAAAATAATAACTTAGTAAGAATAAGCAAAAGATATAAGCAGAAACTTA